CGGGGCGGGGAGGGGGGGGGGGCTGCCCTGGCCTAAAAGCTGGAGCCCCACTACGATGTTCAACAGCTTGATGGAAATAAACGGGTGGCACCCACGAAATCGGCGCTTGTCCGAGTGTTCAAAGCACGCTGTGAGCCTGTTATTTCCCGAGGAGCTAATGGTAGCTGTAGGGCAGCTCCTCACCTTGTTAAATCATAAATGGGGTTCCTTAATTACAAGCAACTTTTCTGGCGGTGTTGGGCAGCTGACAGCCGCCGCTGTCAAGCGGCTTTTGGACTTTCGGTCGGCTGTTGCTCCTGCAGCTGGCTGCGTTTGAAAGGCACAGGAGAGCTATGCGCATCTTACTTGTGCATTTCTCTCCTTTTCTCTGGCAGGCATTATCTGGAGTGGTTTCCCTCGTTTAGATCAGGGAAGTCGCAGACGCCAGTGTTTCTCTGCGTGAGCTTTGATCTCTGTTTCAGTACAGGAGTTGAGGGGAGGGAAGATAGGAGGGAGAGGGAATCTTTCCAAGGTGAGGGGAAAGTTCTGCCCTTGGACGATGGCTGCACCTACCCCAAGGGTTGATAAATGACTTGGCTGAGCGAGTGCAGGAAAACAAGACTCTTACGTGACTGAGGCCAGCTCCTCTGGTCTAGGCTTTCCTGAGCGGTAAACACTCTGTCTGCCTCCCTGTGTATAGGATCCCGTTGTCTTTCTGGCACCTGCATTTTTGGAACTATTCTTGGCGTCTGCAAACACGGGTCAGACCTGTTGGCATATTTACGTGTTTATTTCGAACAATGTTTCCCCCCCTCCCCCCCAATGAAATCGTCGTCTGGAGTTTAGTGGTCTCGGCAGTACATGGGGTGTGCTTGAGGGAATAAATTACCTGTCCTTAAGCACGTGCAGCTCGTGGCACAGACACGGCCGGGTTTCTGAGCTGCAGAACTGACTATTGAGCAATGTACTGAGAACGATATTTCTCTGAATCGCTCCGAGTGACTTTCACAATCATACGGAGGATCATCACGAGCTGAATTTCACAGATTGGTTTTAGAACGAGCAGCTGAAGGGAAGAAAGTGCAGCTAAAAGTAATCTCTTTCTGGCTCAGGTCTGAAGCATGTGTTAAGTATTTGCTCGCACGAGGATTTCTGTAGGTAGCGCTACAGAAACCCCATCTGGATGTGGGTTACGGGGCTCCCTCTTCGGTTTCGTTGTCTTGCTGCGTCGTGAGGGGCCACCAAAGTGGTCTGCGACGCATGTGCCTTTTTCTTTAGTTCCCTTAGCACGTTTAGGTCGTTTTTCTGAAACAGATTCCAGACGTTGCTGGAAGTAACTTCTTGGTTTTGCCATTTCCATGTAACCTGTTTCTGTGAAGGAGGGTGTTAAAGCCTTGGTGTTTTGAAGCACGTTAAGAGCTGTATTACTTATGTAAATGATTTCCTGGAGAGACAGCTCATTTTCACGTGGCCAGTGACCTTCCTTGAAAGCCACTGTTCAACGGCAGAGGTTATAGATTTGAAGAAGGCAGACAGTGTTTTTGAACTTTACAAAGACCCCTTGTTTGTATTTTTCATGTAAGTATGTAGGTGCTTGTGGAATACGCGTACTTCTAATTTACTTTGTGTGTCTAAAAAGATGCAGATGTGCTAACGCTCAATAGTTTGGTATTACTTTTCAAGAAGCCGTATGCTGCTCAATGTGCAGTGAATAAATGGAGTTGTCTGCAGAGTTTGCCTCGTATGGTATAATTCTTCATCTGCAAAAAAACATCGACCGACTCATTAATGAGAATCCAATTAGCAGGAAAGAGGGGGATGGGAAGGGTGCGGGAGGCGACAGAACTGTCACGCAGGAGAGATCTCCCGTATTAGCGGGCCCTACCTGGCAGGATCACCTCGGCACTCGGTTATTTCTTGTATAACTGGTCCGGGACAAGGTCCGGCTGTGCTGGACCCTGCCCGTGTGCCAGCTACACAGAAACGGAGGTGCAGCGAAACTCCGTGGAAAGGTTAGGATGATCAAACAGCTCGAGTGTAGCAGGGGGAGAGGACATCAGAGAAAATCACACAGGGATTGTTGCTCGGCGGGTTACAGCTCTGTGTTTTTCCCAGCAATCTTGGCACGGTTGATAGTATCGCAGGACTTTGTTGTAGTTTGTCAGCTAACGGATTGGAGAAGCCTCTCTGCAGAGAGCAGGCAGCAGATGTACGTGGCTACGGGTAATGAGGTTATGCTGACAACACGAGAAAACTGCTGCTGAATTTGTACGATGTTAAGCTGTTTTTCTGAGTGACCGATGTGCTTTACGATTCCCCCTCCCTTTTTTAGCGTTTTGCAGAACGCTCTTGTTCTATGTGTCATTACTGCTTGTGTGGCCATTAGGGGATGTCTTGACCACGTCTGTGCATGAGGAGCTGAGATTTGTTTTTACCTTTGTGCGGAAGCAAGTAGGTCAACATCTAGTATGTAGTTACACGTACTCTCTCTATATACATGTATGTACACATATATGTTGCTGCAATTGATTCTGCGAGGATGCACTTTGAAAGGTCTGGCCGTGCAGAGATTCATGGGGCTGTCGGAGATCGCTTGCCTAAATCCTGCTTTTTCCGGCTAAATCTGGTGTTAAGGTAGGGAATGCTTCAGGAGATGCTTGTCTTGATTATCGGGGTGAAAATCCAGCGTGAGTGCGAAGGTCAGGGTGTAGACGCCGTGTCTAGGAAACTTTCAGTTACAAATAAACTGTTAATAAACTTAGATCTGGAAGATGACGCGAGAGCCTCATCGCTTTAGTGCCTTGGCTTATTCATTATCCAAATGGCGATAATACTGAAAAAAAAAGAGAAAAAGAAGTCTCGCTAGTTATGACTCTCGGTTGAACTTGTTGCGGGGTAGAATGTCCTGGTGCACAAAGTTAATTGCTGTAATGGAAGTGCACTAAACCCTCCTCTGTTTAAGGAAACATAGTCAGAAGTGCAGGAATTACTCGCTTTGTTGAGCAAGATTCTGATTCTGGTGAAGCATGTGTTGATTTTAAAAAGGAGTACAATTCTGAGTCCTACCTAAAATAGTTGTTCAAATTATTAATACGTGGCTTGCTGGGTCATTTCTGACAGGAGAACAGAGGCTGCGTGTCTTGTTCCCCCATTCTCTCCTGCTAAACCAAATATTGGAGTGCATCCATCTCTTCAGGAAGGCTGTTCACAGCCTTGTGTCAACAGAAGGAGCAACCAGCAAGAAGTCGCTGGTTTTGCTGCCTTGTTGTTTTCTTACAACATCTTTGCAACTCTGGCACCGAGAAGGGGAGGATCGCTGACTTATTGACGTGGTTTCAGCAGCGCGATTGGGCTGCGGTTCTCGTTGCAGAGGCCGCGGTTTGCCACATAACGTTCCTTTGCGGAAAGGTGCTGCCACACCTTTGGAGCTGAGGTTTCTCTCTGTGCTTTTTTTAAAAATCCCGTGACTTGGGCTTAACAACAACAACAACAACAAAAACCCCACCTGTGGATCAAGGATGATCTTCGTCGCTGAGGATGCCAAAATCCCAGATCGGAGCAGGGGTTCAGGTTCTGTTTGTGCTTGAGGAGGCTGATCCTTTCAAATGGAGGAGGATGGGGGAATGCCCACACTTGAGCGCGTTTGCGCTTGGTTGTTTCAGGCAGATGTAATGCATTCAGACGATGAGTCCTTTTGTAAAAGGAACTGACTAAATATTGTGTAATGTGCTTGCTAAACGCCAGATTGAGCTACTAGGGCAGCTGGGGAAATGGTGCCTAGTGAACGATGATTGCGTACGGTGATCATAACTGCCATTTCTATACGTGGAAATCCGTTTGGTAGGTTGAGTTGTCCATATCTGGCTTTCAGCTTTGAACCGGGGTGAGATTTCAGAAGGGCAGACCTTTGGTGGGAGTGAGGGCAGGCGCTGTTACTGCCCGCTGTCACCAAACAATTTCTGTCCCGTTGCTCCACGAGCCGCACGCTTCCTTTCGACGGCCTGACCTGGCGGGTTGGGTGTTCGGGAACAACTTTGGGCCATGTTTGCCGAGTAGACCGGAGTGTCAGGACGGCTTCTAACTTTTTATTTGATCCTATAGGTACGTGGGAAACCTGTCAAGAGATGTGACCGAAGCTCTAATCCTCCAGCTGTTCAGCCAGATCGGACCATGCAAAAACTGCAAAATGATAATGGATGTAAGAGCCTTCACCTAATGTTTTTCACGTTTCTCATAGTTAATGGCTTTGGGCCATACTTGCGTGTTTCAGAATTCCACTGGAAATACGGCGTGACCACGTTAAAGGGATGTAATGAGGCTGGAGATCACAGTCACGTACTTTTGGCATCGTTTCTGCCTCATATCTGATGTTAAATTTAAGGATGGGTGGATATTGCGAGAGGGAGTGAACAGGTTAATATATGTAGGTGTCGTAGATGAGATGAGAAAAGTTCTTCCTCGCCATACTTTTACCTTTCTAAAGCGGAACGGAAACCTCCTGGAGCATTGTTAGTGCATTGACTGGGGTCTCAGTGTAGAGTAAGAAAGCCTACGCATTGTGAGACGTTTAGGTGTAACGAATAAGGAGCAGCGTATAACAGCGAGGGTACAGTTTGAAGAGGTTTGTATCAGTAATCCTTTGTTTGTTTCTTTTATCAGACAGCTGGAAATGATCCGTACTGTTTTGTAGAGTTCTATGAGCACCGGCACGCGGCTGCGGCACTGGCTGCTATGAATGGCCGGAAGATAATGGGTAAGGTAAGCTGTCGTGTCTACAGGGTGAGTTGGAGTTGAAAAACAGGCTATCTCAGATGGTGCGGGTGAAATATCCGTGGGTGAAATAGCGCTTGAGACGAAGTGGATAACCTGCAAATGTTAGACACTTTGTTTGGACAGAGGTCTTAACATGACACGACTAACGAGAAGAGCTGTTTTGACTGTTGGAGGAAGAATGCAGAGGGAGGTGGGGATGTAGAACTGGGGACAGCTCAGAGACAGCGGGCGTGAGAATAGCTTAACTCTGCCGACCTTATCAGGATAAGGTCTCTCTCTCCCCACCCCTGTGAAAAAAAACCCACCAGACCAAACTCCCAGACCGGGTCTGTTTACCATCTTTGCTTTTAACGAGTGGAACACAGTTTGGAAGAATGAACCCTCTGCCAAGAAATGTGTCTTAAACTTGAGCTTTCACCCCAAACTTCCACGTCTGGTGCCCCTGTAGTGTCAGAATTAAATGCTGGCGCTATCTGAGCTTAGCTGGGATTTGCTTGATCTAACTTGAGCGACTAACGTTTGCAGGAGGTCAAAGTGAACTGGGCGACGACCCCCAGCAGCCAGAAGAAAGACACCAGCAGTAAGTGTCGCTTATGCTTTGAGTACGTGTTTGATTTGCACAAGTCGTTTTTAAACATAAACAGTAAGCATCGTGCAATTATGTGCAGTAATGTTTTGATCGTAATCCTAAGATATTATTTAATGTGTTTGTGTTAATAAACTTAAGAACAAATCTAATCTTTGTCATCAGGTAGTACCGTTGTCAACACACAGCGTTCACAAGGTAATTGTATCTTCTTAAACATAAAATGAAATCTCTCAAGGGTATTCACTAACCACCAGAAGCTATGTATGGGGTTTTGTTCGTTACGAATTTATTTTTTATGGAAAGACTTCCCTTTCATTTCCCTGTAGCATCAGAAAGCGATCTAGTGTCCACTGTTTAGTTCTGGTGCTAATCTCCAGCCGTTTGTCACGAGTGCAATTGTAAAAAAAAGCCCCCAAAACCCTTGTCCCCCGCATTCAAGGCAGAATAGTTGGCTCCCTCTGAGGCTGCAGTATGCGCTGCTTCAGACAGATTCCTTGGGAGCATCTAGACTGTTTCCAAAATTGGGCTCCATCGCTCACAGCGAGCCTATGGGTTGCCGCCGTTCTCGGCAGGCTTTGAATTTCTGTAGGCCGGTGGGGCTAAGCTACGTCAGCGTCCGTGCGGACTCGAGAGTTTCGTACCTGCTGTAGTACAAATAAGTCCGTATATTGCTAGGATGGTATGTGACGTATTGTTTGATTGTAGTGGAAAACTCCTTAGATAGAGGACTTTTGTTTCTCTTTGGTGCGTGTTTTTGATGGCTCTGATATAAATTGAAGGGATTACTGTTTCCATTCTGTTGCCTTCAGTCTTAGTTCACTTGCACATGGATTCGCACACATTGAATTCACAAGGATTCACATGGTGCATTGGCTGGGCAACCAAAACACTTGGCTTTTGAGAACTCAAATGCTTTAACAGCAAACTGTTGCAATGCAAGGTATTTTTTTCATTTGTTCTTCACAACCTATGGTGTTAAACCAGACATTGTGGCTCGGTTCAAAATACATCCTGCTTTAGAGTGAGTGTTATCTTGCGTTTCTTGAATCTGCTAGACATTTCAGTTGATCAGATTTTGAATAGCTAGTGATCTCCCGCCATGTGGGAGCTTAACGCCAGTGTACAGAAAGATTTTCGTGTACTCTTGGCCCGTTAAGTAAATAGTTTAAGACTTTGTATGGCAAATGCTGACTGGTCTTAAAAGCAGTTTGTAAAATACGAAACGTAAATGCCATATGTCACTGTAGTATCCTTAAAATCACTGACTCTGTAGCGCTGCCGAGCAAAAGATCTGTTACGAACAGCAGTAAATTCTGTTTCATAGTAAACTCTAGTCTTCATGTAGTTTTTAATAATAGCTGGAAAGCCGTGCCACGTGAGATTGCTATGCTCTGCGTGCGTGTGCGCGCGCATGTTCGGGGTCGTCTTCAAACATTAAGATCCTTTTTTCTCTTTTTCCCAAAAAGACCATTTCCATGTCTTTGTCGGAGACCTCAGTCCTGAAATCACAACTGAAGATATAAAAGCAGCTTTTGCGCCATTTGGAAGAATATCGTAAGTAATTTCATAGGGCAAATAAACTAAAAGTTACCTCTCCTAAATGGAGGCAGCCTTATGTTTCAGTAAGTAAAAAATGAGAGTTGACGCAGTGCAGGAATATACATTTGTGTGTTCATACAGCGACTCGAGTCTGAACGGTCGAGCATTAAGCAGGGATGTGTAACCCGATGCCTCGATAGTAGTTTGTTCTGCTTTCCTAGAAAAGTTGCATCCAACTTGCTTTGGTTTTATACTCCTTGCCTCATTTGGCAAAGCAACGCTGCAAAAAATTGACTCCTAAACCTGGGGTTTGCGTTTCACTGGCCCTCTCAGCGATCGGATCACCATCACGCTGTCCAGTTTGTGACCGAGTCCGTTTGCACGTTCACGTCTTGAGAGGCTTTGGATTTTTTGTTAGCCGTGGTGTGCCAGCCACTGGTAGCCAATGTTTTTTCGCAGTTAAATTCCCATTTCCCACAAAATGAACCTTTTTTAGCACAAGACTCGTTGGGGCACCAGGAGGCTGCAGCTAGAGCGGCCTCGAAGGGTTTGGCGCTGGGTCAGCGTAAGCCCTTGACCCGAAGGGCTCGGCCAAAACCACGGGGCGTCTCGGGTCAAGGAGCCGCGCTCATGCCAGCGGTGCAGGGCGACGGTGTAACAAGCGAACGCGTTACAAGCGGGGAGCGGTGCTCGCAGGTCTCCACCTGCCAGTTTTTGTTGTATTCAGGGTGTAGCAGAGTAAGGAGCGGTTCGTTCATTCCATCCTCCAAATGTAAACCATTAATTTTCCTTGTAGTGTTGTCTGTACTGGACATTGAAGTTTCTTGATGGTGATGTAAGAGAACATAGAGTGCTTTGGAGTGTTGTGTAGTGAAGCATTTAATTGAAGTAAGTTTGTTTTTTGTTTTTTTTTTCCCCTCAGAGTCCAGTGTATTACTCTTTTAATGCCAGCTTGATTTCCTCTTACGATAAGGTTTAAAAAAACATATGTGATCTGAATGTGACTTGCTTCAGACAACTATAATGCTTGACTGCATCTCTTGTAATTGTCATCTAGGAAACGCAGAGGGTCGGACTCCTAAGGAGAGTCAATTTATCCTCTGGCCAAATGTGGTCTGGATGGAAGGGACGAGGGACTCTAAAGTAGATCTGAACTGCTGGAATGAGTGCGAAAGGGAGGCAGTAATAGACGGCCGCATTGGTGTGACTGCGATGGAGCTGTGAGAGAGAGTTTCCCCTAACAGGCAGCGCTGGGTTTCTGAGGTGACGGGTCAGTCGACAGTCGCCTTTAACAAACGACCCCCCCCCAAAAAGCGAAAGCCCTCCTGAGCCCGAAGCAAAAAGTAACGTCCGAATGTCAGCTGGGGGAGTATAAAATCACAGCCAGCATCGGTCTACGGTCCGTATTTCTGGGGCCGTGGCCGTTGTCCCATCTTTTCTAGAAGAGCTTTTTGGACGCAGAGCTGTTCGCTGCGTGGTGGTGGTGATGGGGAAGGGGGAGCGATGCTCTTGCTTTTGGGGTACTCAGCGCACAGCTGTAGAGCTAACACATGGAAAACTCGCGGGTTGCCCTGGCTCAAACTGACTGTCCAAACTGAAACTCGGTTCTTTTCCTCCCACAAAAGTAAGAATTGTCCCTGTAATGACTCTTGAACTCTTGTTCCAAAACCCAGGGTTTAAATAGAGCCAAAGGGACCTAAATTTTCTACTTGCTTAAATTTAACCTGGAAAAATATTGCTACTGCCTCTAAGTCGAATGAAGTTACTTTACCTGTTCTTCATCAGTGACTAGTTTCTGGAAATGTGGTGCTAATGGAATATTTCCTGATTTTTTTTTTTATTTTTTAACATTGTCTTCGTTGGTGCTAAACTGAGCTTTTTTTTAACGACACCAAGGTTGAACTGCTGCATGATTAGTGCATAAGAAATTTTGGTAATTCTTTGCATCTGGATTTTTTAATCACTGTTAAAAGCACACTTTCATTGTGGTTTCCTTTTATGCTTGCTGTACGCATGTTTTCACTTGTTCTCAAGTCTTTATTTTCAAAGTTTTCAGTTGAGGGTAAGTAGAGATGAGTTTTTCCCCCCCTCCCTCTGTAGGCTCTTCAGAGCAAACCGACCCAAGCTTACCAAAAGTGGCTCTTCTCAGGCAATTTGTAACATATGACCCAAATTTTGACCTAACCCAGGAAGGAGGAAAGAAAAAAGGGGGAAGCGGGGGGGTTTTTTTGGGGGGCGGTCTCACAAAGAGGAGAGAAATAACATTTCTACTGGAGCTCTGGGAGAGGTATTTTCCCGGGGCCTTCGGCGATGGCGTCGGCGCTGTGGGCTGACGTATGCCAGAATTAGGCTTACGACATGGCTACTGTAAGGCTTAAAAAACCGGGTGTAACGAACCTTCTTTTCATTGTGACTTTTCTCGCCAGTCTTGGAATGCTAAATGTTGTGCACATGTTAACGCTAGTTTCTCTGAACCCTCTTATTTTATACAGCCGTAAGTTACATTGCATGACTTTCTGACTGGTTTTATGTCGTTGTTTCTGTTCTTTTAATGCCTGTACGTGTGGGGCAAAGGAGGGGAGGAGAGGGTGGCCTGTACGCGAGAGCATCTCGACCCTCGGCTAACTTGTACGCAAATTGCCTGAGAAACGCTGTAGAACGGCGTTCCACGAGTGGGGTTTAGCGCTTGTAGCTGGGTTCTCTTTTTAACTCAATCTCAAATAATAGGGCTCTGGTTATTTTGCAGAGTGTCTCTGAAGAATGGACAGAATTGCCATGGCTAACTACAAGCTACAGTTCACAGTGGACAAACGTTGTAGTTTTCTTATTTACTTTTATAAAGTCTTTTTTTTTTTTTTCTTTTTTATATCTTGTAGTTTCCAATCAGTCCTGTATGATTGCTGTTGTACAAATGCAGTTTAAATGATGTGTAATATGTAGTTTAAGACATTAATGTTGCGGTGTTTTATTTTCTTCAATAATTTCTGAAAATGTCAATCTCTCAAAATTTACAGCTGCCCACAGTCCAAAAAGGGGGTAACGAATTGACCCGAGAAAATTAAAGAATTCGGTTAACAGGCGACGTATGCCTTTTAATTCCTATCTTTTTTCATTTTTTCTATTTAATATTTTGAATAAGTAGGTAGAATGTGTTGGCAAATAGCGAGTTTAAAAATTGCATGGTTAAAGAGAGCCATTCAGCTAATGTTAGTCAGCTACGTGCCTTAAGTGATTCTTTTGAATAGCTGCTTTGACCATGCTTTGTGTCTTAACGGTCTGTAAAAGCATTTTGAAGCGGGAGCCAACTGTCGTAAAGTACATACGTTTGTTAGAGAAGCTATTGATTTGCATGTTTACACAATTAAGTTTAATTTTGCTACTACCTGGCAAAGCATTAGTAAAGTTCTGTTTAGAAAAGAAGCCTTTTGCTTTGACTGTGTTGCTGGTGCAATAAACAGTTGACGTTAGTAAAGGTGAAACATGAAAATAAGCTGTACGTGTGACTCAAGTTGTCGTTTTTGTAAGGTAGTCTTTTGAAGGCGCTGAACTGGCTCTCGTTTCTGCTTTTTAGAGACGCGCGCGTGGTTAAGGACATGGCGACGGGAAAATCTAAAGGATACGGCTTCGTCTCCTTCTTCAATAAATGGGTAAGCTGCGGCACGGTCTCGAGCGCCCCTGAAAAGCGGGCGATGGTTTTCAGCAGCCGCTACGGGGAAGGAGTACTGTCAGTCCCACCCTTTGTCAGGCTTCGGTTTCCCCTCCTGCCAAGGGGGAAGCTTTTCTCTCTGTTGAGATGCTCTGCTGCTGCTGCAGCGTTTCTAAAGCACGTGGCAAATGACATCCAAATGAGCGATGTACAGAAACGACAGAGAGTGACAGTGGCTCTGGTGTATATCGAGAGGGTCTTAGATGCGCTCAGCGAGGCCTAACAGTGTCCTTCGTCCTGCCTACATCCACTTCTTCTGAAGTAGGATTTCTTTCGGCACGTGGCACGTGTCAGGCAGAGTGGGGGCCCGGTGATGTCATTCGTTTGGCTCTATTGCAAAAGTGGGAGATGCTGACGGTTTGTTTTTCTTCCCTCCCTCTCTCGGGGACAGGATGCAGAGAATGCGATTCAGCAGATGGGCGGTCAGTGGCTCGGTGGAAGGCAAATCAGAACGAACTGGGCGACAAGAAAACCTCCGGCTCCGAAGAGTACATACGAATGTAGGTTCTCAATTATTTGCGTCTTTGCAAACCTCCCGCCACACCCGCGAGGAGGAAGAGAAAAGGGCGAGCGGCAAGCCTGGGAGACTCTGGGAGGAGGGAAAGCAGGTGCTACAAGCGAAGGCGCTCCTGAACAGCTTCAAACCTCCTGAATAAAGCAGCTTCCTTAGCTACGGCGACCGTGGTACCGCTACGGGGGGGGATTCCTTTGGCTTCTGCACGCTTGGGGTGGAAGCTTGCTTCTCTCTAGACGGCCAGGACGACTCTGGCTTCTTAACTTGGCTCCCTCGCTTTTAGGGCTTTCTGTTGTGACACAAAGCGCGACTGCGTCAAAGAGAGAGATTTTAAATTAGGTCTGTCAGACCTACTTGATCGGTGTCTGTAGTTTGTGCTCGACATCTCGTGCCAGTCAGGATTAGAATTTCTACGTAACGTGTGTCTGATCCTCTGAAAAGCTCTGTAAAATCTCTTTAAGCAAACGCCAAACAACTGTCCTACGACGATGTGGTCAATCAGTCCAGCCCGAGCAACTGCACTGTGTACTGCGGAGGTGTTACTTCGGGACTGACAGGTATCGTGGCTTCCAACGCTCGTCGCGTCGAACGTCTCGCAATAACACAGCAGTCGCTTCATTTTGATGCTCTCTCTCTTCCTGCTTCAGAACAGCTGATGCGCCAGACCTTTTCTCCCTTCGGGCAGATAATGGAAATTCGAGTCTTCCCAGATAAAGGCTACTCCTTTGTACGGTAGGCTGTCGTGCGGTTTGCGTGTTGATGAATTTCATAAGAATTACGGGTTCGCGCGCTTTTGGTGGGCGCGTGCCGAACTAGAGGGTGTGCTTGACAGCAGCCTGGTCTGAGGAGTGAGTTAGGGCTTGTAGCGCTCTTGGCGCAAGTGGGAGAAACCCCTTAACCCGGGCTAAACTGGTGCAGTGCCCTTCATCCGAAGAGATCTCTCTCTGTTCCTCCTGTGTAATTTCACAGTCGGTCAAGTTCCGGGGTTGTTTCCAGAAGCATCGTCATCTCTCTGTTGACGAGGCTCCAGATAACAAAAAATAATTGTAAATTGACTCGCTCTCCTTGCTGCTGGATCTTCTGATTTGTTTAGGGAGAGTTACGACACCAAGACAGAAAAAGGGTCGCTGCCGCGGGGGAGACCAGAGAGAAGTGTCTGTGGTCGGGCTGGTGTTCTACCAGAGCCCCGGTCCGTGCCGAGCTAGCGGGGCTCTGCGGGGGTTAATTGTGGCTGTTACTCACCGGGAGAGTTGTTTATGTTGCCACGACTTCCATTCGACAGGTTTAATTCTCACGAGAGTGCTGCGCATGCGATCGTTTCTGTCAACGGAACGACTATCGAAGGACACGTAGTGAAGTGCTACTGGGGCAAGGAGACGCCAGACATGATCAGTCCGGTCCAGCAGGTCAGAGCTTCTCCTCTGCTAAAGACGACGGCTTTGCTCGTTAGTCTTTGCTCGAAACCCGTTAAGTGGCTATAAAGTCTGTGTGCATGCCGCTTAGAGACTTGGCGTAGCACATGCCACCTACGTAACGGCTTATTTCATCAGAGCGTCTTTCTCTGAAGAACAATCAAAGATTTTAAATCCCGTGGACTCTCGTTACGTAAAAACGTGTGATGTAAAATTCTGGAGAAAGCTCGCAAAACACC